GGGAGAGCTTGGCTAATCCTGCCCTCCCACCCACCCTTCCGGAGAGCCACACGGGCACGCCGGCCTGCTCCCAGCAGGGAAGCAGCCCCCAGCCGGCCTCCACTCGCTCGCTCGCTCACCCGCTATCTCAAACATGTTGGCAAAGAGGATGACGGCTTTGGTGCGCTGGCTCCGATCAGACCAGTGCCCGAAGAGGGGCCCCACCAGCAGGCCAGTGAGGCTGAAGGCCGAGATGCCCAGGCCCAGGAAGTACGGCTCAGCATGGAGCGTCTGCAGGTAGGCCCAGATCGTGGGCAGGATCACCGCTAACGGGGAGCAGAGAGAGACAGGCAGTCAGGGCCTCCCCGCCACAGGGCTGCAGGATGCACAGCCCAAACTGCTGCTCATCCTTACCCTGAAGCCAGGCTCCTGCCTCCCTGGGACGGACCGACAGCCCACCGCGTGAGACAGGTTTGGCGTAGCATGAGCCCCTCGCCGGCTGGGTGTGGTCGGCCTTCAACAAAGTGGGCAAAGGTCTCCGGGTCCCCTAAACCTGCCAGCCTCTGTCCCCCACCCACTGCGACTGCCGGTCATGCAGCCAGATCCCATTACTGAGGTATCGAGGAAGGGGAGATGCCGACCTCACAAAAGCTCGAACCGCCCCTCTCTGGGCCTTAAGTCCCCAGTGACTCCCAGACTTTCGCCCTCCTTTGGGACAGAAGGGGCTGGGGCAGCTCCTCAGATCTAGGTGGATCCCGGCAGCACCCCCGTGGCTTTGGCTCCTTGCCCTCCTTGCTTCGAGCAACACCCCTCGGCCTGTCAGCGCCTCCTTCCCTCCGTCAGAGGCCGCTCTGCTATTCCAGAGCCCTGCTGAGGTGTTTACACAGCAGCCTTCACAGGTATGGCAGGAGGGAGACAGAGAAACCCCATGGAGCTTAACAGGGGCCAGAGTCAAAGCCCTCCCACACTCCCCCGGTTACCAGCCCCCGGTTTTAGCACAGGCAAGTTGCTGTATCTGCGACAAGACGCCTGGGAGTCGTTCCCATAGCTACCATGTTGGTTGTCTCTGCCCCGTGTAAGCGTCCCTAATGCGCCCACCACCACGGTGTCCGAGTGCTGCCGGGCTGCCCAGCGCCTCGGGGCCCCAGGACACGGCGCTCACTCTCAGCCCTCTCTGGGCTGTCCCAGCAAGATGGCAGCCAGCTCGGGGGCTGTTCTCACACCGCTGTCAGAGGAGGAGCTGCAGGTCTGGGCTGAGAAACCTGGACACCGTCACCTTGGGCTCCAGCCACTGGAGTCCTGGAGGAACCCGGCTGGTGGCGACAGACAGGCCTGAGCCCCGGAGAGCCTTTGAGGCCCAGGCTAGGAGCTGGAACAGGATCAGGTGTCAGACCAGGAGGCGGCACGGCATGTGAAACCCGGGAGGTTTCTCCGACATCCCACTATGTTTACAGGCAATACCCACATGCTGCAGCCTCAGGTCACCAGCCCACACTCCCCTTCCACCTCATTAACACCAGCCCTACAATCGACAGGTACTTCTGCTGCTGTTCTGTCTCGGATTCCATTATTTACATGCCAACCCAGCTGAGGAAGCGGGTCTCACCCACAAAAGCTCTTGAGTCTATATATTTTGGTTAGTCTCTATGGGTACATCTAGACTACATGGCTCCGTCGACGGAGCCATGTGGATTTGTTGTTTTGGCAAAGGCAAATGAAGCCGCGATTTAAATGATCGCAGCTTCATTTACATTTACATGGCTGCCGCGCTGAGCCGACAAACAGCTGATCAGCTGTTTGTCGGCTCGCGCGCTAGTCTGGACGCTCCCCCTGTCGACATCAAAGCCCTTTGTCGGCAGCCCCGGTAAACCTCATTGCAGAGGCATGTAGATTAGACACATAGACAAAGGCAAATGACGCCGCGATTTAAATGATCGCGGCTTCATTTACATTTACATGGCTGCCACACTGAGCCGACAAACAGCTGATCAGCTGTTTGTCGGCTCAGTGTGGCAGCCATGTAAATGTAAATGAAGCCGCGATCATTTAAATCGCGGCGTCATTTGCCTTTGTCTATGTGTCTAATCTACATGCCTCTGCCGACAGAGGCATGTAGTCTAGACACAGCCTAAGGGTACGTCTAAACTATATCCCTCTTTCGAAAGAGGGATGTAAATTAGACCTATCGAAATTGCAAAGGAAGCCAGGATTTGAATTTCTCGTGCTTCATTTGCATAACCATGTCTTGTGCTTCATTTGCATAATCATGTCACGGCGTTTTCGGAAAACGCTGTTTCGAAAGTGGAACCATGGTCTAGGTGCAGGTCTTTCGAAAAGAAAAGCCTTTTTCAAAAGATCCGTGGTTTGAAAGAACGCCGTGACGCGATTAGGCAAATGAAGCACGGGAAATTCAAATCCCGGCTTCATTTGCAGTTTCGATCTGTCTCATTTACATCCCTCTTCCGAAAGAGGGATGCAGTCTCGACATAGCCTCAAGGGCCTCAGGGCTCCTCGTTTTTGAAGTGACAGACTAACACGGCTGCCCCTCCGAGACTTCCCGCCCTAGTTAATGATTTCCACTGGCTCAACCTCAAGGTTCTGCTGCTGCCCTTTGAGACCTCAATGACGTCTTCCCCATGGGAGCCAACATAGCGTCCTCCAGGCTAGTGCCCCAGCCCATCTCACACCCTCCTCCTCTTTGGCCAGACTCAGTCCCGCAGGCCCCTGCCAGCCAAGCCATCTTGCTCAGTCACCATTTTTAAATGTTGTCCCCTGCACTGGACTCCCCCATGAGACGGGCAAGGAGGTGACCCCAGAGAGTTTTCCCTGGGGCGAGGGGGGGAGACCCCTTGGGTTGTGGAGGAAGAGAGGCGGGACTGGGGCTAGCCAAGAGAGGGAGGAGTCAAATGTGAACCTCGCCAACCCGTTTACATTCTGTCTACACTAGGGCTGCCGACACCCCCCGCTGGCTCTGCTGGAGCTAGCATGCTACATAGGGCGGCTCCTGTGCAAACTCTGGGTGACAGGGCCGAGGGCGGTGCTGCGAACAGCGCCCGGGTGGGGATGGGGCAGCGAGAAGCTCAGCTGGGGCACTGTTGGGTGTAGAGTGGCAGCGAGCCAGCTGGAGAGAAGGGCTGGCCAGTGCGGTTTAAGGAGGGGACAGGGAGCCCTAGGAGTCATCAGCCTGGATGGTCAGGTTGCAAAGGGAGAAGCGGAGCAGGCCGAGGACAAGGCCTGCGCGACGCCAGCACAAGCAGCAGCAGAGGTTGAGGAGGGTGGCGTGGAGGCCCTGAGGTCCGGTGAGGTCACATCCATCAGTGAGAAGGCTGCTGCGGAGGCATCGGGCGGGAGGTGGATGTGCAGCGGAGAGCTCAGAGCAGTGGAGGCGATGGCTGTACCTAGCTCAGGCGAAGGGGGGTGTGAGCAGGAGAGGCAAGGAGGTTCAGGACGGAGAGCGGAGAGTTGTTTCACTGGTGTATGTTCCCATCCTTCCCTGGCTTGTGAATCACTTGTGTACCGGGGCCTTGTCCTCCTGGCACTAACCAGCTCAGTGGCATCGTCTCCGATCCCTTCCCCTCGCGGGCTGGGAAGCCCAGCCGGCACCACACTCTTCTCCCCAGAGCTGGAGGGAAGTTCACGCGGCCATGGGGAGCGGCAAATCAGCTCCTTGAAGGCTCAGGTAAATCGCTTCTCCTTTCCTCGTCCCATAGGCCGTGCTCCCCGACGACCCAGCCGCACAACACCCATCCCAACAGCAAGGCAGCGCCTTGCACGAGGAGGTGACGCCAGCTGGGCAGCCTGGGCTTGGTTATTCGTGGGCTAAGGGAAGGGGCCAGGGATCTGGATGAAGCTGCAGGTGCCAGGAGATGGAGTCTCTCCAAGGCAGAGGAGAAGCACTGAGCAACAAATGTTATATTCTCCGTGCTGGGGCATGGATGGAAAACTACCGACACAGGGGCTGGAAGCAAAGTGGCTGCTGTAGGGACAGGCCCCTCATCCCTCCTCTGGTCTGCGGTGTTCACCTGGAGTACCAGTTGTGGGCACAGGGATGAGGCTTGTAGCACCAGGTCCAGGTCTCGCAGCCTCTCTGGGGACTAGCAACCATGAAAGCCAGGCAGATTATGGCATGGAGGTGGCTCTGGATTGCTGTCTGAGCAGCCGGGAGAGCAAGCAGAGACAGGGCATGACTTGCAAACCGCTGGCCTCTAGCAAGCCACAGATCGGGAGAGAGGGCAGACAAGAGCCCTAATCTCTGCTTGAAGCTGACAAAAGAGGAGATTAAATGCTGGATTTGAACAAGAGTGGGGGACGGACGGGGGGACCTTGGCAGCTCATCCCCTTCATAGCGTCCCAGGGGACTGCAGAATGCACGCGGCCCAGCAACATTCGTGGATACAGAGCTCAGCTGGAGCCAGAACCACCCGGGGCGCCTGGTCATACTATGAAGAGAAACAGCGAGGCCCAGCGCACACAGGGAGTCCAGGGACCTAGGCTCTGGCCTTGGCTCCACTGCTCTTCCTCCTCTCTCCTCTCCTTGTCCCCTCTGTCCTGACTCCGTATAGTGTGAGCTCTTCGGACAGGGGCTGTCTCCTTGGGCCCGGCACCTGTAGATCTCAACACCCGAGCTTAGAAGGCCTGGTGAGTCTCACTCTACTAAGCTGAGGGCACGTGGAGCGGGGGAGGCTCCCCATGCTGTGTCAGGGAACGCAGCGCACTGGCCGTCAATCTGAGCCAATTCCCCTCCGTGTGACATGAGGCAGGACAGGTGCTAGGTGTGCCCATGAGCGGGGATATGCACAGCGGCGAATGGTCCTCAGTCAAACCTCCAGTGTTTCAACACTTCAGCACGGCCGTTTCTCAGGATGCCTGCCAGCCACGCACGCCCTCGGATGGTGCGGCCCGGCTTCAAGCGGGATATCAAGGAAACCTGCTCTACAGATCATCCCCTGCCACCAGGGCAGAGCACCAGGCTCTGCCGGACCCGCTATCCCCAAGCCTTCTTCATGGCAACAGACATGAAGCCACTCGGGTATCTTCCCGGCAATAGCCAATGCCCGTTGCTGCAGCCCATGGTGCTAGCTATGCAGCAGCCGGGCATGGAAGCAGTGGGAGATGCTTCTGGCTGTGCCTGGGGCTGGGTTATTCCCCTGGGGCAGGAGGAGCGATGGCACTTGCAACCTTATCCTAGGCAGTGACATAGCAGCAAGGAGGGCAGAGGAAGGAAACCCAGCTCCACAGGCTCGGGATCCTTCCTCCATCCCCTCCTGTATTAAAATCACTGGCCCCTTAGGGGCCCTCAGGCAAGAGAAAAACCAAACAACAGCTCCAAAGGGGGGGAGGGAGCTGGAACTGAAGGACCCAAGGACCTGACCCGAGACTCAGCAAATGCCCATCAGTCCTGGGGACCCTCTGCCACCAACACAGCCCCGTCTACTGAAAGAAGGGGAGACAGGAGCAGCTGAGCCACCTAGAGCCAGTGCCCCCGGGGAGGCTCCCTGGACAAACGGTTGGCAGATGTAAATCACCCATCTCCTCCGGTCCCACCCTTCAGCTGACCCTGGAGGATGAGTTACAGACTCAGCTCACAGCTTGTAAAATATTAACAGGGGAAACTGGGCGGCCAGTTCTGCTTCAGGAGCCAGAGCCCTCTACCCCCCCACACTCCCTCCTGCCATACACACACTCCACCTGGCTGTGGGGAGTTGGGGGACCAGAGAGGCCACTCCAGGCCAGGCAATTCCCAGTGGTTTGGGGAACGTCCTGCCGTAGGGACAGAGTCCTAGGCAGGAAAGAACAGTATCTAAATCCATCTAGGACCAAACCCACATACCCAGCCAGCCCACGGCAGGGCCCGGTGAGCTCCCAAAACCCTTCCACGACTCTTGTCCACCATTGTTCCAATCCCCAGAATGGCCAGTAGAGCGGCAGGAGACTCCCCATGACTGATCTACCACACAGACATCTTCTAAGCAGCTACAAGTAGTGCAGTGACCAACCCCTTTGCTACCCCACCAGCTTGTGAGGGGAGGGAGGCACAAGTCCCTGGCCCAAGTCACTGCTGTTAAAACATTCTCTAGCCCTAGGGTTTCAGGCAGGGGCTCGCTGCCCGAGGCTGCTCTCACGTGAGATTGCACCACCTAGCCAGAAAAATAAGGTAGCACCGGGTCAAGGGCCCAAGACAGGGCTCAGGCTGCTCCAGTGAGCCGGCAAGAGACAGGACCAGACCCACTGCAGGGTCGCATGCCAGAGGCAGACGTACAAGGGGAGGCTCTTAGGGAGTGCCAGTATGATTCCAAAGCCAATCTTCTGTTCTCTAGTAGAACAGTGACGGTCCCTGTAGCCTTCACCTCTCACCCCACCCCCCTAAGAACAGCCAGACTGGGTCAGACCAAAGGTCCATCTGGCCCAGTGTGCTCTCTTCTAACAGTGACCAATACCAGGTGCCCCAGAAGGAGTGAACAGAGCAGGGAATCATCAAGTGATCCCTCCCCTGTCACCCATTCCCAGCTTCTGGCAAACAGAGGTTAGGGACACCGTTCCTGCCCACCCTGGCTAACAGCCATTGTTATCCTTCGTGAACTTCTCAAGTTATTTTTTGAACCCTGTTAAAGTCCTGATCTTCACAAAATCCTCTGGCAAGGAGTTCCACAGGTTGATTATGTGTCGTGTGAAGAAAGACTTCCTTCAGTTTGTTTTAAATCTTCTATTCATTTCATATGGTGACTCGCGGTTCTTGTGTTATGGGAACAAATAAATAACTTTTCCTTATTTACTTTCTCCACACCATTCATGATTTTATAAAGCTTTATCATACCCCCCCCCCCCACTTAGTCTCCTTTTTTCTAAGCTGAAAAGTCCCAGTTTTATTAATTTCTCCTCATATGGCAGCCATTCCAAACCCCTAATCATTTTTGTTGCCCTTTTCTGAACTTTTTCCAATGCCAAGATATTTTTTTGAGATGAGGCAACCGCATGTGTATGCAGTATTCAAGAAGCGGGCATACCATGGATTTATATAAAGGCAATATGTTTTCTCATTCTCTATCCCTTTTTTTCCCCCCATGATTCTGTTTGCGTTTTTGACTGCTGCTGCGTATTGAGTGGATATTTTCAGAGAACTATCCACAATGACTCCAAGATCTCTCTCTTGAGTGGTTACAGCTAATTTAATCTCTATAATTTTGCATGTTTAGTTGGGATTATGTTTTCCAATGTGCATTACTTTGCTTTTATCAACACGAAAATTCATCTCCCATTTTGTTGCCCAGTCACCTAGTTTTTTGAGAGCCTTTTGAAGTTCTTCACAGTCTGCTTTGGACTTAACTATTTTACTAAATGGCTTGCAGATGATACTACATTGGTCATCACCTCCACTTCCCATTCAAAGACTTAAGTAGGCCTTTTCTTTCCTCTCCTGCTATCCTGGCCTGACTACTGCTGGCTCTGATTCCGAGCCACCTTTCCACCTCCCCACTTCCAGTCTCAATTTGGCCTGCTCCAACTTGGTGAAATCCAGTGGCCTGCAGTATGTCTATGGCCTGTTCCGGGCTTAACATCTATTAACCTAATTTGTGACAGTCTAGAATAGCTGGAGTGCTGAGTAGTGCAACCATACCCTGGCGACAAGAGCTGGGTCATTGTGCCAGGCCTATCCACAAAACCCCACAGTACCAGGGGCTTGTACCTGACTGGAGGACGCAGCTGCAGCATATAGGGGCCAGAACACAACACAGAATCAGAGCCCAGCTCTGCCATCAACTTGTGGCCTGACTTCAGGCAAACTGGTTAACCCCACCTCCGTTTCCCATCTGAGACATGATGAGACGGAGACTGATCCGGTCCAGAAGGTCGATTAACATCCACAAGGCTTTGACACTATGGCAATGGGGGTCAGATATGAAAATTCATAACCCCCCCATGGAACACAAACCAGGGTGTGTCACTCATGGACATTGGCACAGCAGCTCCATGGGAGCCCCAAAGACAGCAGAGGCCTCTGGAGTTGGCTCTAACACTCAGGGCCCAGGCAACCTTGCCCGTCACCTATTCCTGGAGATTTCCTCATAGGCCATAATCTTGACTTAAAGGAGACTCCCTCCAAGCTAATCCTGGAGGCTTGGCAGCCCTATTGGCAGGGTATCGCCTCCACCCCTGGCCCCAGCGCTCACCATACTCGATCCCTCCCGACAGGAAGAGGAGCCCAATGGTGCAATTGGTCAGTTTCTTCTTCCTCTGATACTCCATAGATCCTGCCGGGTTCCTCCCGCCGCGGTGGAGGTGGCGGCTCCTTGCAAGACTCAGAACCCGGCTGCGGCGTCTCTGCCGCCAGGGGCCATCGCTGCTGCGCAGAGCCCAGGTGCCTAGCCGGGCAGCCTTCCGGTGCACATGGCTAGGGACCCCCACCTGCCCCGGCCCCGCGGCTTCCCACGCAGCCTCCGCAAGGATCCGTCGGTGCACCGGCTCCTCCCCCCGGCCGCAGGGGCAGCGTTTCTGGGCGGGAGCCAGCCAGGCCAAGGGACACCTGGCTCCTCTCGTCCCCCGGGGGCGCTCCCTGCCCCGGGACGGCAGGGCAGGCGGGGGTGGGGGAGTCACTGGCCCAGCAGGGCCCAAGCAGAGGGAGGGGCTGGGCTGGCAGCTGACGCCGCACCTGCCTGGGAGCGCAGCGCAGCCCCGGCTGCAGCAGG